TGCACGCCAACCACGTCAAGATTGTCAACCACAGCACTGGCGACGCGAAGGCCAAGACGCTGCCGTCCGTCGTCTCATTCCCGTCAACAGGCGCACCAGCTGTGGGCTTTGTCGCCGTAGCCGCCGAAGCCTCTGATGCGGATGTTGTTACAGTGCGCAGTGCCAAGCGCCTATTAGGGCAGTCGCTCGCCGACGCATTGCCGGACCAAAAGTACCTCTCGTACAAACTCTGCGAGGGCGAAAGCGGCCACGTGTCGATCGCGCTACCGGCGCGCAAGACGAGCGTGACGCCGTCCGAGGTCGCGGCGTTGCTGCTCTCGGAGCTCAAGAAGGCCGCCGAAGCCAAGCTGAACGAACGCATCGCCAACTGCGTGCTCACGGTGCCCGCGTACTTTACCGAGCCGCAGCGCCAAGCGACGCTCGAGGCGGCCGCCATGGCTGGCTTTTCTGCTGTCCGACTCCTGAACGAACCCACGGCAGCCGCCATGGCCTACGGGCTCTTTGTGGCGGTACATCGACTGCGATGGACTTGCGTGTGATTCTACGGAGTGGATAGGGCACGAAGCGCGTCGTGGTCTTCGACTTTGGCGGCGGCACACTCGACGTCTCGGTGCTGCACATTGCTGATGGCACGTTCACGGTCGAGGGCGTTGGGTACCCGAATTTATAGTTCTTATTGCCTTCAATTGCGTGGTTAGGGGTGACACGCACCTCGGTGGCGAAGACATTAACAACATTGTCTTTGACCACGTGCTGCAGTCGATCGCCAAGAAGCACGGGCCGTTGGCGCTGCCGTTGGCGACGCCCGACATGGTGCAGCTCCAGCGCGCAGTCGAAGCGGCCAAAATCGCACTTTCGACTGATGACGAGACCGTACTTCGACTGACGAACGTCGGGCACGTGGCGCTGCACGAGATGACGCTCACGCGCCGCAAGCTGGACGCGCTCTGCGACCCGCTCTTCAAAAAGTATGTTTTGGTGCATGCATTCGGTATGAATTAGTGCTTAATTCGTAGGTGCTTGCGCATCACGCGCGAGGTGCTCAAGGCGATCGACGTCGACCCGAGCGACGTCAACGAAGTCGTTCTTGTCGGTGGCTCGACGCGCATCCCGGCGATCCGAGCGCGTCTTCGCGCCTTCTTCAACGACAAGGTTTTTACTTGGCAACGAATTACGAGAGGAATTCGTACCGTCGGGTAGGAATTGTGCACGTCGGTCAACGCCGACGAGGTTGTGGCCGAAGGTGCTGCGATCCAGGCTGCGATTCTCAGCGGCGTCGACAAGAAAGTCTTCCAGGTACAATTTGTGGTGTATTGATACATTGATAGAACAGCTCGTAGGACGTGCTCATGCTTGATGTGATCCCGATGAGCATCGGCATTGAAAAGGCGGACGGAGCGATGGAAGTGCTCATTCCGAAGAACTCGCGGATTCCCGTGTCCGTGACCAAGTACTTTGACACGGCGGTCGACGACCAAGCTGGTTTTACGATCGAGGTATTCCTAACCTCTAGTACGATCGAGTGTAACGCATAGGGGTAGGTGTTTGAGGGCGAGTCGCCTGTGGCGCGCGAGAACACGTACCTGACGTACTTTGACTTTGTGCTGCCGCGCAAGACCCGGGGCAAGGCCGGGTCGATCCAGCACCCAGTGACGCTGAGCATGAACGCCAACGGCCTCCTCCAGGTCAAGGCCGGCATCCTCCACGATGAAGCCGTCGACGCCGAAGACGCGAGCGAGGCGCAGCGCTCGATGCTCGTCCTCTGCGTCTACATGGGCTGCCTCATCGCCGTCTACGTGTTTGTCCGCATCTACTTTGCCGACCAGCGGCTCTGGTACACGGACGAGTACGCTTCGGCCTCGGACGACTTGTAGTTTCTGATGAATACTAAAATGTAGTAGCATGATAGTATGGCCAATGGTACAGTCGTTGTTAATCGATAACTTAGTTTCTTTTGCAACGATTGGCGATGCTATGCAAGCGACGCGGTGGCCTTGGGGTCAACAAAGTGCTTGGGCGTGAGCTTGAGCGCGACCGCGTAGAGGGCGCCGACGATGATGACGACGCCGACGAGGATGCCAGGGACGATCGTGTCGAGGGCAAAGACCGTGTACACAATGTAGCAGAGCATTGCGACGGGGACCGTGAGGAGGAGCGCGAGCACCTTGGTGCTCACCGGCACCTTGTACGGGCGGTGGATGTTGGGGTGCGTCACGCGCAGCTTGATGGCGGCGACAAGCAGTAGGATGATCGACATGGACGAGACTGCGTTGGTCATGTTGACGACGACTTCAAACTCGTAGCCGACGAGGATGACGATGACCAAGAAGCTGAGTGCGACCGAGATGTACGGCACGTCGGTGCGCTCGGCGCGCTTGAGGAAGATCTTGGGCGCGAGGCCGCACTCGGCCATGCCCGTGAGCTGGTACGAGACGACAAACATCTGCGACGAGTACTGGCCCCAGTTGGAGGCGACGGTCGCGACCGTGATGAGGCCGAGAAGCGTGTTGCCGCCGAGGTTTTGCGCGATCGACGAGAAGGCCTCGTCGTCCCACGTCTGCCACGTGGGCGAGTTGTACACGGCCGAGGCCGAGAGCGGGAAGAGGTACGTGAGCATGACTGCGATCGTGCAAATCATGAGCGCGCGCGGGTACGTGCGCGACGGGTTGGCCACTTCGCCGCCAAAGACGGACGCGTTCGCAAAGCCGTTGTAGTTCCAAAAGAGCGTGTTGATGAGCAGGTCCCACTGGATCTAGAGAAATGTGAGATCTCAGAACTGAAATATAGAGTGGTGTCGTACCATGGCCGGGCCCGTGCCCACGTCCGTGTCGGTCGTGTCGTTGCGGCGGATCATGTGCAGCGACGACCAGTCGTCCGCGGCCGCATACGCCCAGATTGTGAAAATCTAGAGTCGACGATGAGACATTTCCAGCACGAAGAAATAGGACGTACGATGAACGGGACGAGCACGATAAAGGCGAGCGTGACCATGCCCCAGCCGACGAGGCGGACGCCGAAAATGTTGGGCAGCGCATAGACGAGCGCGACGCCGACCTTGAGGAACCAGCCAGAGACGCCAGCTGTGATCGTTTCGTCGTACGTCGAGATGAGCTGGACTGTCAGCGCCGGGTAGATGGCGTTGTCGATCGCGCCCGAGACCCACGCCCAGAGCCCTTCCTGGAAGCCCCAGAACGGACCAAACGCCTGAAAGACCCAGACCGTGAAGCCGCCGTTCTCCGGGTACGTCGTGCTGAGCTCGGCCGTGACGAGCGCGAGCGGAATGCAGTAAATGAACGGGAAGATCGCAAGCGCGATGAGACCGAGGAGCGGCCCGCCCGCAGAGAAGATCTGCGACGACCCGACGGGCCCGCCACTGACGTTAAAGTAGCAGAGCGCAGCCACCGAGAGCGTCGTGAGCACGCGGCGGTTGACGAGGCGCGGGAGCGACGCGCGCTGGCACTCGGGGTTGACTTCGTCCACCGACGGTTGCACTTGCACCTGGTGCGGGCCGCTAGACACGTCAAAGTGAGCCGCGCGGTTCGAGAGGAGGACGTATGTACGTCGTAGCAGCGGTGTAGGCCACGGGCGATGGAACACTCATCTGGATCAATCCAATCGGGTCGAAATCGGATAATGAGCGCGCAGGCGGCGGCCGCGGCGCAGCAGCTGCAGTCCTTTCTCGGCCATACGCTGGTCATCCGTACATTGCCTGATTCTGGTACGTACGGTCGTCCACTGCATAGCTGGTGATTTTAGCTTGGATTTTGTATGCAGATCGGACGCTATGTACGGTACGACGTACGAGACAGGCCAGTTTGCCGTTTTCAGAACACTGTTTTTGTGCGTCGACCTGGGTTTCAGTGGACTTGATCCTCGGATCTCATTATGAGGCCAGTGTAATGCCAGAGATCACTCTAGCGTTGCCAGAAGCTTGGTCCACACCAGAACTACGAGTAAAGAGATCGTTGACGACAGGTAATCAAGCTTTTATACACGGCAAGCGGCGAGGCTACTGCGAGAAGCACGGTGGTCTGGTGATGACCTTGGCGTGTAAAAACACTGCAACGGGCAGGTCACATTCGGCGGGAAAAAATGAGCATTCGGAACTGCCCTTTTATGCCAGCTGCAAGCCAGAATGATTGGTGGGCGAAGTAATCGAGATCCCACTGCGAATGACTTGAAGAATGTATAGAGTGAAGGCAGAGTGTTCTTATGGTCTTCACCCGTTCTCCAGCAAAATCAGAGACAACCGACCATGTGCTCCCAAACCTGAGCCAACTTTGTGCTTCGCAGCAGTGGCCGTCGCGCGCTGCCTCCGTGCTAGACTGTAGATTGCTGAGCAGCAGCAACGATAGCCCAATTACCCGACGCCAGCGTGTCGCTGCCGCACCAGTACTCTGTGTGTTTGCGTGCTATCGGCAGGCAAGCCGCGTGGCCCATCGATGCTTCCGACTCGTCGCAATGGTGGCTTCAAGCCCACGGCAAGATACTCGAGCGCATCTCGTGACTGGGTGGGCGCTCTGAACTCTGGCTGCGGCAAATGCACCTTTGAAGCAGTCAGTTGCAATTGCAACAGTCGATCAGTTCTATTAGGCGGCGACGCGACCAGGTGCGCTGAGCTGGGCCTCCTTGGGCGGCGTGAGCTGCGTGCCAATCACGAGGAAGCTCGGCGGCAGCTTCACCGGGCTTCGCTCTACGCATGGTCACAGCATCAAGCGTCGGTGTCACAGCATCATTTGCGAACAAGACGTGGGTATTACGTACGGTTGTTGTTTCGCGGCGAGAGCACGACAGGCGACGGGTACACCGACCGGACGCCGATCGGGGGTGGCGGCGGCAGCGTCGATGGCTTGCCTGGGGACCGGGCCTTGGGCTTGCGCGTCGCGAGTGGCACGCTGATCTTGTGCGCGTCCAGGAGCTAACGCAATCCGAGTTGAAGCCTTGAACACTCGTGGGAGGACTGTACGTACGTGGATGTCGCAGAGAGGCAGCGGCAGCGGCGACTTTTGGCCCTTTTTGGATTTGCTGCTCTGGCGCTGGGCGGTTTGCTTCGCCCGAAGCTACGGTCGCCGATGTGAGTTAGTCGTGACTCGGTGCCCACTGACCTGTACGATGGCCCTGGCGTCGACGCTGAGCGAGTGTTCACCGAGGTGTTTCGCCTTGACGTACTGCTTGAGATCGCCCGCGATCGTCTCCTACGCCCAACGCGGTTGAATACATGCGCACTGTGCGCTGGTCATGCGGTACGGGGCGGTTGACGGCGAGGCCGGGCGCTGCGATTGGCGGTGGGACGAGCGACGACCGCTGAAGCACAAGGCTGTCCAGCCACGTGGGTGGGAGCTTGACCAAGTAGCTTCTACGCGATGACCACATTATTTTTTAGTGACGCGGACAAAGTCGTCGTACGGGGCGAGCGCGAGGTACTCGTCGAGGCTTGGCTGCAGAAATGGCAAAGTCAGAATCGACTCGATGCTCGGGCGGTCGTTGGGACTACAAAACCACCGTCATCGCAACTATGACGTGCAGCTAGTACTCGTGAGCAAGCATGGCGGCGATCAAGTGGCGCGTCTACACAGTGAGTTATATCAGCCTTGGCCACGACGCGGTCGACGCACGGGCAGTCGGCATGTTGTGGGCGCCAAGGCGTCGTAGTCGCCGGCTGATATCTTGTGCACGAGTGCCGGGTAGGAGCTCGCTCGGAACGGACAGCGGCCGGTCATAAGCTCATACAAAATGCAACCGAGCGCCCACACATCGGCTTTGAGTCCATAGGGCTATTTCGTGTACCAGTGAGGCTAGCAGTACTAGACTAGTATGAATCGTACCTGTCCCTCGAAAATCTCGGGGGCCATGTACGCCGGAGACCCAATCAGCGTCTCTGCGAGGCTCGCCGACGACTCGAGGCACTTTGCAATGCCAAAGTCGCCGACGACGAGGCGCCCAGTCTCAAACACAAACATGTTTTTGGGTTTGAGATCCCGGTGCAGGACGTTCGAAGCGTGCATGTGCTGGACGGCGAGCGCCATCTACGCAGAGTGTTTCGGCACTTGTAAGAAGAGTTTATACCTGAACAAACAGAAGGAGAAGCTTGTCTTCGGATGCATCGGCGCGGTGGTCGTAGAGCCACTCTGCGAGGTCGCCGCCGTCGCAAAACTCCATGACGATCGCCAGCGTCTCGGCGTCCACAAACGCATCGTGGTGGCGGACGATGTTTGGGTGTTGGAGCGACGCCGCCACCCGCACTTCGTTCCAGCACAGATTGCTAGTCGAATGTAACCCCATGGAATACCCGTCTCGATGCGGTACCGTTGCGTGGGCGACAAGTCGTGAAGAGGGATGCGCTTGACGCATACTACGTCGTTGGTGGCGCGCGTGTTGCAGAGGTAGATCTATTAAGACCAAGCATGAGGTGTCGTACGCAAGTCTACGGCGTACGTCGCCGTAGACGCCGCTCCCGAGCGCCCGAATGTCCTCAAAGTCGGCCAAGGACATCATCGATGGTCGTTTTGGAGAAGAACTGTATTTAGCTCAAATCTCGTCAACGCACAATTCACTTCTGGTCAACCGGCTTGCCATCCATGACGTTGAGCAACATCTCGAGATTTCGAGCAAAGTGAGGTGGAAAGATTCCAGTGTTTTGGGCCGCTGCTCGAATCCAATTGAGAAATAATGATAGTGCTTGGGCTGGTAGGCGATGAGGAAGGAGGGGGTGGGAGTTGCCATTTCCTCTGGGGGTAGCGCAGTTGACAAAGTTTGCTCGCAACGTGCGAGTTGAAGAATGCCGAGTGCAGCACTTCACGTGATAGACTTTTCCCCACTAATCAGGGAAACTCACTCTTAGCATGAATAAACATTGAAATTCCATTTATCTACATTCGTGCACACGATACCAGTGTTTTCCAGTTGATGCCATGACTTTGGCTAAAGCCACTTTGCTTTCCACCTGTCCACATTAGAAGAAGACGTTCAAAGTCGGCACGGCTGGCGCTGCAGACGTCGGTCAAAGCAAAATGACCTGAACCAGAGTCAATGAATTCGATGGGCATGTCGCAATAATCGGTTCTGATTGGCAGCTGATCCAATCTGCCACATACAATCCGCCGCAAGCCATGCTCCGCGGGCTGATTCCATGGCTGAGCCTCGCCGCTGCGTCCAAGTGCGACACGATGTACACGAGGCCAGGCATCAGCACGCTCGTCGCCGACGGCTCGTGCCCCGCCTCGGTTGCGTGCCTGCTCGACGCCCAGTGCAAGCCGATTCAGTCCTTTCCAAACGCTACGACAGCGTTCAGCGACCCGCCCGGCGTGTCGAATTCGAGCATTGGCGATCTCTCCAAGTACCCGCACCCGACGCTGTACGTTAAAGCACCTCGCCTGCTTGTACTCACCGTCTTGGTAGCAAGCTCTATAACCTCCGCTACGGCAATGCCTTTGACCGCATCGAGTTCCCGCCGACGCTTCAGAATCTGTGCGTCCATCGCCATCCCACGCACACACTGACGTTGGTGCGTAGGACAATGCAGCACTTGACGCTCTACTCGCTCGGAAACCTCCAACTGCCCGCGGGCTTGAAGAACTGGTTCGTCGAGCACCCTTTCCGGACGCCGTGCAAGCGGTATATAGGACCATGTTTACTTGCTACGTCTCCAAGATCACGACTTCCGGGTTCCAGTGGCCGCAGTCGCTCGAGACACTGTACGGTGGTTGGTCTGGTGCGATTCTAATTGCTGCGTAGAAACCTCAACGAAAACATCTTGAACGACGTACCTGCCAATATTCCTCGCAGCGTCAAGTACCTGTACGACGACCGTGGTCGTCGCACCTCATAGCTCTTGTAGCGACTTGTCCTTCAACAACATCAGTGTCGTGGTGGACCACGACTGGCGCTCGCTGCGTTACCTGTAACGACGTTGGTTGCGACTTGAGTTGATGCCTGTCGTAGGTATCTCAGTGGCATCCAAACGTTTGCGCACGTCCGGCTCTCGACCAACCTGACTTACTTGTAAGCCCTTCTTCTCGAAGCGTCGACTGGACCGAAGCGTAGCTCGTGCAGTGGATGTCTCGTCACGAATCTCACGCTGGACGAGGCAACCTACCGCGTTCTCAATGCTTTGGGCCCCAACAACGCGACGGCCAAAACCGGCGTCTACGTTGGCTCGGCAACGGCGAATGCGAGCACGTGCGCGGGCCGGATCTTTCCGATTTGGCAAGGCGCTGTAGAGAATGCCACAGCATGTGTTGTGCCGACGATCACAAGCCCACCACCGACGACGCTCGTGCCGACCGTTGACGGGTCTAGCGGTATAGGTTATATTCATGATCGAATGTATTGAACAAGCAGCTTGCATTCGTAGGCAGCAGTGGGCTCCTTGTTGCAGTTCTCGTTGTCAGCGCCGTTGCGGTGCTCAGTTCGCTCGTGCTCGTGCTCTATTGGCGGCGTCGGCGGCTGCAGCACTCGTTCAGCATCGAAGAGTCGACAACGAGTACCATCGACTTGAGCAGCCTCCAGATGCACAAGCTTGACCGGTCCGAGCTCGTTATCCTCGGTGACAAGCCTCTCGCGGCGGGTGGGTTTGGAGAAGTCTGGAAGGGCACGTACGCCAACGAGGTGGTTGCCATCAAGCGCAACAAGGACAAACTCGAAAAGGGTCTGCAGAGTTTCATCGCCGAGATCACGCTCATGGCCAAGTACGAAGTAGCCCTTCCCAGTCCTCGCTCACGTTGGCAATTTAGGATGGACAGTCCGTACATTGTGCGGCTCGTGGGCGCGAGCTGGATCCGACCCATCGACATTGAGTGCGTTGTTGAGTTTATGGACCTCGGCGACCTCCGCTGCTTCCTCGCCGACCGCTCGATGACGCAGTTTACGTGGCGCGAGAAGGCGCCAGTCGTCCAGAGCATCGTTCTGGGCCTCATCTTTCTGCACACGTTCGACCCGCCGATCATCCACCGGGACCTCAAGTCGCGCAACATCCTCCTCGACTCGGTCAAAGGCACCAAACTCACCGACTTTGGCATCTCGCGCGAGGTGGACGAGTCGACGATGACCAACGGCATTGGCACGTACCAGTGGATGGCACCGGAAGTCATCTCGGGCACGTCGTACTCGGAAGCCGCCGACATCTACTCGTTTGGTACGCGCTGTGGCAATCTTGCGCATATTGAATGCGCGTAGGTGTCGTGCTCTCCGAGCTAAGTACGCACACCATTCCATACCTGGGCTTGACCAACTCGGCGACGGGCCGCTCGGCGACACCGCAGTTTGTCATGACCAAGGTGCTCGCGGGTGAGATGACACCGGCTTTCAACGCGACGTCGCCCTCCTGGGTGCAGGAGATCGGTCTACGCTGCATGGCGCTGGACCCCGACGAGCGGCCGACGGCCTTGCAACTCTACGTGTCGCTTCGGCCACTGCTAGATTCGCTTACACAACCAGCCAAGGCAACGTCGGCGTAGGACGCCTCGCAGGTCGACAGAATCAGTGAGAGACCCGACACGATCTGCAGCTGAATGAATGTGCTTTTCGGATCCACCTCGTTGGCTCTTTTTCCTGCAGGCAAAATTTGCGTCTCGTCCGGCATTCTGCGTGGTAATGGCAGTTCCGAGATTGCTCCTGAACGTGAGCTACAACTGCACTCTCCGAGAGAGGAGTTTGCTTCTGTAGCTCTGGCTCACACAGTATAGCCGTAGGACCGGCTTCAATCTAGGTGCGCGTCGATCGTGATGCGAGGTCGTCGTCGGATCGGGGAGCGGTCGATTGCTCTGCGCTTTCTTTCACGCAGGTGACTACGTCCCTTTCGTGGACCACCAGCGAGCTACTTGGAGACCAACAGTGGCCTCCACGGCGGTGTCGCGGCGGCTTTACCGCTTCGGAGACAACTGATTCTTCACGAGCTTGTAGTTGGGGTCGATAGTAGTCACGAGCTCCGATGACTACAAATTGGAGTGCATCCCACTGAATCTCTTGGTAAACGACAAAGGCGTGTCAAGAACCCAGGTTCGTGTATGTGCGCGGCTTCGTGTAGAAGCGTCTGCACACTGGACAGGACGCGGCGCTAGAAACACGCACGGATCAACCCGACGGCAACCTCTACCTACTCCGTCGTGAGGTCGTCGATGGGGATTAGCAGCCATGCGGTGGTCGTGGCGTCCCGTCTTTCTTCGTATATTTCACGCTGGGCCTCGAGTCGTTTGGGCGGGAATTTCCATCGCAAACAATTTCTGCTGCAGGCTGGACTGCCGGAAAATGATGGGATTGCTCCAGACC